GAACTCCACAATGACCACATTACGTCAGACCTATTGGATCCCATCCATCCGCCAGTATTTGAGAAAATTGTTGAGACGGTGCGTAAATTGTCGTAAGGTCACTGGGACTGCCTATACACGCCCCGATCCACCTCCACTTCCCAAGTCGAGGACAACCGAGACAGAACCCTTTACGACAACCGGCGTTGACTTCACCGGAGCCCTTTACGTACGTGATAACAATGGCGAAACGAAGGTGTACATCTGCCTCTTCACATGTGCTGTAACCAGAGCTGTACATTTAGAGATTGTGACAGACCTATCCACTGAGTGTTTTCTGAACGCATTCAGGAGATTTGCAAGTCGCAAATCGTTGCCACAAAGGATGATCTCGGATAACGTATCAACTTACTTATCGGCTGCAGACGAACTTAGAGCTCTCTTCAATTCACAAGCACTGCACGACTCTCTCAGCAAACGAGGAGTAGAATGGCAATTCATTCCGAAAAGGGCGCCTTGGTTTGGAGGATTCTGGGAGCGCTTGATTGGTCTAACCAAAACCCCCTTGAAGAAGATCCTTGGACGCGCATATATAAACCTAGAGGGTCTACAAACGATCATAGTCGAGATCGAAGCTGTCCTCAATGACCGCCCTATAACCTATGTCACATCCGAAGCCGACGATCCAGAACCCTTGACACCTTCCCACCTTCTCTACGGACGACGTGTCAGAAGATTACCTCGCCTAATCGTTGAAGAAGAGGAACTACACGATCCCAATTTCGACGACGATTCCGAAGTTCGAGAAAGAGCCAGGAAACAATCGATAATAATACAATCCTTTTGGATGCGGTGGAGGCACGAGTATCTCACCTCACTTCGTGAATTCCACAAAACAACAGGCACAAACGAACAGAAAGTCAAGCAAGGTGACGTTGTGTTAGTTCACGATGACGGTCCCAGAGCCAACAGGAGACTTGCCGTAATTGAGAACCTCGTTAGTGGAAACGATGGACTGATTCGATCTGCTGATATTTGTACTAGCACTGGTAGAACCAACCGACCTATTGCTCGTCTCTACCCTCTCGAAGTTTCAACCAAACAGGAAGCAAAACCCATCCTATCATCAGAGAAACCACCACCAGCCTCGGAACCCCCACATCGCCCGAGGAGAGAGGCTGCTGTAAAAGGACGCGAACGAATTGCGCGTTGGACACAAAAACTTTCCCTCCCCCCGGAGGATGTCGAGAATTATGCATAGTTTGTTAAAGGACACTATAGTTAATCTTATATGACTTTTAAGCGTAGTATTTGCTGGCGCATGCGCGTTAGGGCTCGCCATACGAACACGTTTTAGATTCGTAACATTCATATAAAACGACCGTTTTGGACCATAGTTTTGGGACTTTATGTTAGTTATGTCTTGTATTAAGATGTCAAATATATTCATATAAACAATCCACAGTATTAAACAACAACTCGTTTTTCGTGATTGTACCGTACACATATAATCAGGGCAAAATTTTGTTCAAACATATTTGCAAACGTAAAGCTCAGTAGCTTTGGTAATCTGGGACTGCACGCAAGCTAAAAGCACAGCCCATTTTTAAGATAAATGATATAGCAGTATACTTACCACATATCAAGCTGACTATAACTCCCACAACAAATGTTGTAGCCACGGCAGTTGCACTATACCACAAATAAGACAGACTGCCAAGTTTCGCGAGAGGTTCACTTAATAGAAAGAACATAAGAAAATTCATTTGAATGTTGGAACTGCAATTTAATTGGCAATTACAAATTGCAATTATGCGTTAAAAATACAGCACACAGGGTCGTGGGAAGCGTTCTCTCTTACATGGGTAATTACAACCAACTTATATTATTTGTAACAGTTTGTCGTTACATTGATATTGTGTATACAGCTAATTAAAAAAAGGTTGTCCTTGTAAAAGTCTCAAACCTTAAACATTGAGCGCGCAAGGTATGATGGATATTGCTTATTTGGAGACGTAGATTGAGCGCGCATTCGCTTAATGAATCAAATATCCCTGCATCGAAAGTGTTCATTATAGCCTTAGCATCGTTGCGAAGCAAATTGACCCATTATGCCTTGCGCGCTCAATGTTTAAGGTTTAAGATTTTTGAAAGACAACCTTTTTTGAATTAGCTGTATACTGTACCATTAGCAACAAAACCAGTTCAATCACACTCATGATTGCATACAGAGTAAACGTTGTTTACATGCAAATATTTGATTGACAAATACAAATGACAATTGTACTTTAAACGTACAGAAAATGTTGGAAAGAATTTATTTTTTGGCAAACGTACGTTGCAAAGTGGTACTAAATTTTGTCAGTTTCGTTTGTTTGTTTGCTTGCTATTTTTCAATTTTCTTGTTATACCAGTAGTGCTGAATTAATTGTCATGGTTTCTATATATCATATCTTCGTATGTCCTTATATTATATTTATATGAAGTAACACTAACAATATTTTTACTCTTTGACTTACTACCTGCACTGAGTGGAATTAACAAAAATTCACATTAGCAAAATGGTGTATGAATTACTTTCAAACATAGCAATATAGTAAAAATATTGTTAGCCTGTACCTATGTGGCACGAAGGTCTTTGCTATGATTCCGTCAACTGTTGTATTTGCATATGTAGTGCTGTTATAGAACTTGCATTCCTTGATAGATATACTACCAGCCATTTTGTCAGGAGGATAAATCATGCCACCGATTGCAATGGTTATTGTCAAGACAAAACCAACAAAAGCTCCAGCATAAGCACCCTGTAAATGATAATACACATACATAACTTTGACTCATGTGATGCATGCAGTTTTATTTCTTGCAACAATAATTGTTTCCAAACGTATGATTCACACACGAAAATATTGCTATCTTGTTGTTAAATGATTAGTTGTCTTTTTAGAGATCATACAAATTCGCGTAGTCCGCACATTAACTAATTATAACTTAAGTATACATGTAATATATAATACAGAAGTAATAACCGGTACAATAAAATGCTGAACATTTCAACAGAAATATATTGCCCCACTTAAATTTTTTTGATATTTATGCTCTACGTCATTTACATTGCATAAAGCTAACAATGTTTTGCTGCAACACACAATATATCCCAATGTAGCATTAGGCCTAATAATCATATTCAATGTTCATAAATAGAGTTGTTATTTAATCGTTGAGAGTAAGGGGTACGGAATTCTCATGTTGTGTTTTAGAAATTTCCTTCTCTCTAACTAGTCAACAATTGAAACTGAATTTGGAAATATCAATATATTATTTATAATTCATCGTTTTTACTAGTCCTCTTCATAATTTACCTAATCAATTTCACTTTTGTATTCTTCCGCGTTTTGCCGAATTTGCATGCTCCAGATCGGAAGCTACGTAGAATTCTCTCAATAGTTTGCGGTTCTCAGAGCATAAATCTGACTAGTAATATATTATACATACATTGCTGCAAGATCGATTTCTGGTTAATATACAAATTACTGTAGATCTTTATAATTAAGAAATAGAAAACATTTTCCGTGTTTCTACAGTATAGAGTTATAGAAACACGCGTGAAAGTTCGGGAGAAACGAGAAATTGCGTGGGAACACGAGCACGAAGTGCAAGTGTTTCCACGCAATTTCGAGTTTCTCCCAAACTTTCACAAGTGTTTCTATAAACTCTATAGGAACACGGAAAAAATGTTTTCTATTTCCTTTATTAAATAGCCTTTTAAAAATAATAGAAAAGATAAATTTATTGATTTTAATTGCTTTCATTCAAATATTAATTCCACCTTAATATACGTTCGTGTAAAGAATAATTATAAAAGCATAGCGAAGTAAACAAGTAATATCTCTGTCAAAACAACAGGATTACTTTACTAAGTACATAATTCACTCAACAACGCACATGCTTGCTTGCATGCAAAGAAAGCACTGTTTTAAATAGTTAGTGATCGTTTAAACATGATTAAAAACTATTAATATATACATGATTAAACTGAACGTCGCGAGGAAATATTTTTTTAAAAAATAAGGCAAAGTAAAATTAAAATATCTTACCTTGGTAAACAGTCAAACAGATACAACGTGTGCTATAATTATAGTTTGTGCTTTAGGTCTTTGCTTTCTAAGCTAGCAAAGTGTTGCCTTTTTTTAACGGTTCTTCGGCGTTTCGGGACGTTTTGCAACTTTTTTCAAAATTAAATATTGTTTGTATTTTGTCTTTTAATAACTCCCGCGCAATCCACGCAACCCGAGTGAAAATTCCCCGTGTTTCTATCGAGTTATAGAAACACCGGTTTTTTGAGCTTTTGACCAATCAGCGCCCGTGTTTTTAAAAGGCTATTTTATAATAGTTTTTATGTTATTTGTTCTATTATACGTTTGTGTGCATCTACGTGAAATGTATTTCGTGATACCTTATAATTGGCTCTTGGTACCAAAACTCCCAAGAAAAATATTCCAAGTAAAGGACCACCAAGTATACCAAATATACTATAGGCAAGCTGAAAGATTAAATCATACAAATTAAAATATGTAATGTAAACTTTTGCCATCTTTATCGAAATTCATGTACACGTACACATGAAGAGAACTTCTGAAAAGAGGTACTGTACTTACCAACAGGGGAGTACAGAGGCGACTTCAACGTAAGAGGATTCATTAGTTTGAGCATGCCATTTTATATACACCCGCTTTCAAATGTGTATATTTTAATTATAGTGTTCGTTGGGACAACTGCGGACTGCGGTGTCAAGAAGATATATACAACTAACTGAAAAATATAGACAAAACTGATCGTTTCCAGCACAGGCTTTGGTCGGGTCAAATCATGTGTTTTTAATCCATGGCGAAGGGCCTTCGGTTGAAACGTCGAAGTTCAGCTATATTTTGCATGTAGTTCCTTGGCACAACAGCTGTTTGCTACCGGTTCTATACCTTGAACAATCAATCGAGATTTTTCCTGGAAATATTGTGTCATTATCAATCACTTACATATACTGACGAAGTTTCCCACACCTAAACTGGTTTGCCAGTAAATAGGTGGAACGTGTGTATGACAATTGCATTATATAGCAGAAAATTATTACTTCTACTTCAACCAAATAAATTATATATATATATACCTGTAGTACCAATGTACCAAAGTATTTGACAACGAAAGCACCGCCTACTATCACAAAACCATACACCACAGCTAAAAGAACAAACGAACATGATCTGCAACATGGTAATTGTTTAGAACATTTGAAATTTTCTGTATCCGTATTCCAAAATTATCGACGCAGTCCTTTATACAGTACTGTTGAATCTGATTTCGATAATAAAAAAAGTACTGACAGATTTTCTAGCAGTACAATACTTGCTTGCACAAGTACCGCGGTCGCATACTCAACTCATATAATATGTCTTTTGAATTCGGACATTTTTCATTGGCCTCGCGGTTGCCGACGAGTGTACACGATTTTGAATATATATTATCTGAGGACCAGAGGTTTATTTTTTAAGACTGACTTTGTATTTCCTCGCGTCTGTATAGGAGATGTGTTCCTTCTATTAACCTCTTATTTATCTATCAATATACCCATAATACTAGAAATACATGCATGCAACGACCCCTGGCCTATATTTTCCAAACATTGTTTCAACATGAAGTATTCGTAATTATGCCAACAGTGAACGCAGGCTCGCGTTGCACGTCATGTTACAGTCATGGCAACACGATAACTGTAGTTTTTAAACGTTTTGTACACTGCAAAAACATTTTTCGCATAATAAATCAATTCTTATTAATGTTTACGTTTAAAAAATGAAAAAAGTTTTAAATTTGTTGTTTTGAAGTTGTTCGGTAATTTCAGTTCCGTAATTTCAGTACGGCAAATTGTTCGGTAATTTCAGTTCCGACTTCAAATCAATTTGTTCTCCTTTACATTTTATGTGGGGTTTTTTCTTAAATTAATCAGGATAACTTAGTTAGGAAACTTACAGCTTTGTTGGAAAAGAAAATAGTTCATAAGCAACAAAATTCATAAACATTAATCATTCAATATCAATCCGTCGTGTCACATGACCCATGTGACTTGTCACATGACCAATGCTACATCCCTCCCTTACGCTAGCTAGCAAACCTATTAATGTAAATGTCTTAACAATATCAAAAAACAAATAAACTAATGTATACTATACTATACTATACAAGTCATGAAGTCCATACCAATATGTTTGTCTTGATAATACTAACTTATGATCCCATGAATCCTAATTATCTATTCATAAATATTCTGACCGTATCTTTGGGTTGGTTGTCTGTCTCTCTGTGGATATCTCCTCCCTTGTACTTAATTTTCACCGTCTTGGTTGATTTCATCAGTTACACCATCACTTAAGTCACCTCCCATGTTATCACTGTCTTGCCACTCTTCCGTACCAGGTTGTGGTTGAATCTTTTTGTAAAAGGTTTTCTATTCTGGATGATGGAATCTCCTGGACGTGAAGCGGTTACCATAGTGCCATTAATTTTAGTGATCCGATATGGTTTAGGATCATACCGTGTGGAGAATTTGTTGTGTTTTCTTTGACGTACCAGTACAGTGTCACCAATAAACATTTTTGACTCTTTCGCATTTTTCACTCGATCTGCATTTGCTTTCATTCGTTCCTTAGCTTTGACGTCATTCTCTCGGACTTGCTGGTCTTTTACAGTGTCCTGTATCTGATGCACTGGGTTTGGCAGTTTCATTTTAATTTTACATAAAAGTTCTGCATTGAGATTAAATAAAAGTTCTGCAGGAGAGAACTTGGTTGTACTATGTGGCGTTGCTCGATAATTTAACAAGAAACTATATATAGAGTTCCTTCTCCCAATTCTTTGGTTTTGTAATTGCTGCTCGAATTGCTTTTGTCATGGGGTTCATGAAATTCTCAGCCTCTGCATTTGCCTGCGGCCGCAGTGGTGTTATGCGTTGACGTTCAATACCCTTTTCTTGTATATATATTTTAAATTATGTGCTAGTGAACGGGGGGCCATTGTCACTTTTAATAATTTGTGGAAGTCCATGGGTTGAAAATATTCGCTCGAGCTTTAATATTGTTGCTTTGGCAGAGGTGGAGTGAATAACTTCCACCTCAGGGAAACGAGAATATGCATCAATAGCAACTAGAACATACTCTCCGGTGGGAAAGGGACCACAAAAGTCTAAATGTATTGTGTGCCATGGTTCAGGAGGTAGATCATTCATTTTTAGTGGTGTGGGTGGAGGATTTGGGTGACTGTTAGCTTGGCATGCAATACAGCTGCCAATCATATCCCTAACAGCCTTATCTATATGCCTGGAAACCATATTTTCTCACGTATTGTTTTGTTTTGACAAGGCCTTGATGACCTTCATGCGCGATGGATATGGTTCGGTGCTGCAGTGAACGAGGTATAACAATACGAGACCCTCGCAAAACTATATCTGCCTCGTCATTAATGGTTAATTCGTCCCGAACTTTTATATACTTATATCATCATTGTCTGTGTTGAGTTCATGCCATTTGGGTTTTGAATTCCACAATTGTTCACGAATAATTTTAGCAAGTCCTTGCAATGTTTTGTCCTTTTTGGTTTCATCCTTTATTTCCTGTAATGTCATTGCTTTCGGGATGGCATGGGTTGGAAGGAAATTGACATCATTCTCAGCGGCATCCTCTTGTGTATGGTCGACATCTCTGCTTAACGGATGCCGAGACAGAAAATCTGATGCATTGTTAGCACCACTGGTATAAACAACGTTAAAGTCAAAATCTTGAATTCTGAGATTCCATCTTTTAATTCGTGCTGGTGGTTTTCACTTGGGGTTACTCAAAATTATCTCGATAGGCTTACAATCCGTATATAATGTAAAGTTTGCTCCATGCAAGTAAAGATGTAATCGCTCCATTGCCAACCAACCAATGAAGCTTTATTAAAAAAATACATAAATAGGTAACATGGTGTCCTTTCACTAAAGTGCTCTTCCAAGGAGCCATGTAAAAATACAAAAACAAAAGAAATTAGCTAAATATATATACAATCCTATCATTATTTACAACTACTTAAACTTAGTATTAAATTTGAAAGTTAGAAAGTTTATTTTTGAAAAGATATATTGAAGCCTGACTTCTTATTTCATCCGGAAGATCGTTCCATAACACAGCCCCACGGTAGCCGAAGCTCCTTTTACCAGCCTCCGTTCTGGGTCTAGGGGTGAACATACTGTGCGAACTTCCTCTAAGATTGTGAGAGTGGACTTGCGAGGTAGGTTCAAAAATAGTATTAAGCTCGTTGGGATATAAATTATTCACTGCTTTATAAATACTTGTTGCGAGCTGTTTAGCACGACGTTGGTCAAGAGTTTCCCAACTAAGACTGTGTAGTATATCAGCTGATCTTACGTCATAGAGTTTTTCAGAGAGGGTTTTACCTAGGCAGCCCCAAACCTCACTACAATAGTCTGAGTAAGGTAACACTAAGGCTTTATACATCAGGATCAATGTGTTTTGGGGTTCAAAAGTTCGAATCCGCTTTAACGACCCAAGACTTGCACTTATCTTCTTACAAATGGTTTCAATATGTACTTGCCAATTTAAAGATTAATCAATTTCAAGTCCCACATATCTGTAAGAATACATTCTTTCTATAGACTGTCCATTAATTTGAATGTTAAAGCGATAATTCAGATTACTTAATCTCGCTTGGCTTCCTAGGATTAAGAATTTTGTCTTCTTTACATTCGGAGTAAGCTTATTAGCCCTTAGCCACGTTTGCACTTTTCTAAGTTCGTTATTTAGTTTAAGCTCTAGGTCTTTTGGATCGTTAGAACTAACAGTTAAACATGTATCATCAGCATACATCATAAGGGACGATGTAGAGAGGCAGGCTTGAAGATCATTAATATAAATTAGAAACAATAAGGGCCCAAGCACCGATCCCTGAGGAACCCAACAAGTAACAGGTAGCAAGCTAGACAATGTGCCATTAATGCTTGTGCATTGTTTGCGACCTGTTAGATATGATCTAAACCAATTGATAGAATTAGGATCTACGCCATACATCTCAAGCTTCTTTAATAAAATTGGATGGTTCATGGTATCAAAGGCTTTTTTTAAGTCTAGTAATAGAATTCCATTAAATAGCCCTTTATCAATATTTTGGTACCAATTGTTGGTAGATATTAGAAGAGTCGTAAGTGTTGAATGTATGGGAACTAGACAATAGATTATTATCGATTAGGTATCCATAAAACTGAGAGAAAACGATCTTTTCAATTATTTTACTAACAATCGGTAAGATAGATATTGGTCTATAATTATCAGGATCTGATTTTGTGTCTTCTTTATATATTGGCATTACCCTAGCTCTTTTCCAATCATTGGGAAATACCCCATTTCTTATGGATAAGTTTATTATATGGGTTAATTAAGGATGAAAAA